TTTAAGTTGTTAAGTTCAGATTTAGTTTATTTTGCATGCTTAGTTAGGTTGTGGTTTAGTTAGTTAATTTAAACAGCTATTTAGTTTTTGATATTCTAGATATAATTAAGGTTGAACAATTGCAATATTTAGTTCTTTTCCATATATTTTAATCTCTGTAGAAACGATATTCTACTCATTCTATATTACTTATTCTGATTCTATGCACTTATAGATTCTCAATCAAGTTTTTGACATCATTACTGAGGATTAAAGAAAAAGAATTAATATTGGTACCAGCACACCTTTTTTATAATTTAAAATTTATTTTCTTGTATTAATATATATTTTTTCTTTTATGTCAAGATACTATTCATATAAGACCCAAAACCATAAAAAGTATGCCATATCCTTTTTGGAGAATTCCCAAGCTCAATGGTCATCTAATTGCTTAAAGTCTAAGCGAGCTACTAATGGGTCGAACATAGATTCCCTTAATGCTCTAGCTTTGCAGTTGCTATTATAGCTAATAAGATTAATGCCATCAATGATAACTATGATCCTAATCCAATCCATTCATTTCAGAACCAATATATGTTTGTTGTGGGGATTACAATAGTGATAATGTTTTTATAGTTAACAATCACATTCTTTTTAAAACACCTATAATTGAGGTTAGGAGGCTAATTACTTATGGGGCAATAGTCAGAGGTAGTCTTTTAGTTCAACACTTATGTATAATCTAACTTATCCTACTAAGCTTTCATAATTTCCACCACCATAGTATTCTTATCCTACACAATATCACCCACTACCATCCTAATATCTTCCCCAACTCAAAAAAAAAAAAAACTTTCTTAGAAACAATGTTAAATCAAATCTTTCAAAATCTATCTATGTCCATTTTTCAAAACCAAGCCTCCCATAAGAACCTTAAGGTACAAATTGAACAGCTAGTAAATGCCTTTAGCATAAACCTTTAAGAAAACTTACTTAGAGATATCGAATCTAACACTTCATGAGAATATGAAAAGTATTATAGGAAGCAACCAACAGAGAAAGAGGGTGTTGATCCTACGTATGGTATTGATCATAGTGAAGAGGGTGTTGATCCTATGTATGGTATGGAGCTGTGTAATGATTTTAGGCAATATGGGTACACAAAAACTTAGAAGGATGATAGATCAAGTAAGAAACTTGAATTTAAAAAAATGGTTAGCATTAGTCCTGGTTAACCAATTTTTAAGCCTTATAGCACACCGTTACCTATTCCCCAACCTTATGAAAATCAAATATATGAAGTGGAATTACACAAGGTGGATAAGCATATTGTAAGGGTTATCTATTTGAAAATAAGCTTGAGCCTCTAGAAATAGCCCTTGTTAAGCTTAGTGAAAAGGATTATAATACTTCATGCATTGCATTCACTCTGACTATACTACCTATGAGGGAGTTTTTAGCTTTAAAGCATAAACCTATACTTTCCATAATGGTATCTTTTTCACTATACTAAAGCCAATGGCAACCTATCTTAGCATACGTAAAAATATATTTATAAAGGTTGGGAATAAATTAACTACTATAAAGCATCAACACCACTTAATTTTTACAAATGACAAATGTGGTTAAAATAAAGAGAAACAAGTGAGTGGATGCTGGTATCAAGTGTGGGATAATCATTTAATCCCAATGGAAAGTAGTCTAGCTATAGACTATAGATAAAACGCTGCTTGAGAGGTAACCTAAGTTTTACTTTTAAATTATTGGTAAACATTATTTGTTGTTTTTCCTTTTTTAGGAACATGTATGCTTTGATTTGTTTTATTTTGTTATCATAGGAAAAAAGAGAAACTTGAAGAGCTTGGAATAAGGAAAAAAAATAACAGGCTATTGATGTAAGAGTGATCTTACAAGTTTAGATTCAATCTTGGTGAATTAGGAGAGTATTCTTTTCCCTTTTGTGCTTTATTGTTATATTTTTACACATTGAGGACAATGTGTTATTTAAGTTAGAAAAAGGGAAAATTTGTGTGAAAATTTTTTAAAACTTTCAAATTTTCTATTTTTTAGCTTAAATTGCCATGTTTAGAATCATTATATTACTTTTTTTTTTTTAATTTTCTCATAATCCAATGATAAAACTTTGATTAACATTGATTATAACTTATTAGAAATGAAAGAATGTAGTGATAACATGAGATGATTTTTAGAATTTATTTTTTTAATTGTGATATTTTTAACTTTGTGAGCACTTAGTCTTGATCATTAAGATGTATGCATATTTAATTAAGGCTTATGAAGATATGGAATTTCATTGATCTTGAAAGTTGTGTTCTAATTTTAGAATTTGTTGGAGCATTTCTTAAAGGGAAATTCTAGACAACACTTAACTGTAAAGATGTTTTAGACAATCATTGACTCATTTGAACATTTCAAGGTAATTTTATGTTTATCCTTAGTCACCTCTTTTTAGCCTATTATATATCATCTCTTTGTTTTTAACCTATATGAAATAACCATATTTTGATTTATTATTTTTATCTTTCTACCTTACCTTATGTGTATATGGATCAATCAAATCAACATAAGAGTTATGTTTCATTGGGATTGAAGGGTGGAGCTTGAAAAAAAAGCAGTGTGTAAATTTTTTTACAAATAAAGAAAAGAAAAGCTAAAATAGCTTTCAAATAAAGAAAAATAAAATTCAAAAAGAGAAAAAACAAGGGTGAAAACATGAAAACAACAAGGTACATATGCAAATCATTAAAAAGTTGTTTTTTGAAAAGAAAAGAAAGAAAAAAATGAAAAAGAATCAAAGTTTTGGGGTGTATAATTCTCTTGAAAGCTCTTTCATCAAAGTAAAAGATCCTAAGTATTGCATGTTCAGGGTTTATAAGCCTAAATTTTCCCTTATTATACCTTAATCCTAGCCTTACATTACAAGCTTAATAAAGACATATTGATCTTTAGTTAAATGTGGCTACATTAGTGGAAAGAGTATGTGAAAGGAAACTTATGAAATCTATGCATACTTAAAGATTCTGTGTTAATTTCATTATTTGCATAACTTTAATTAAATATCTTACATTGATATGAGATAGATTATACACATACACATACAAAAATTTGTAATTAAAATAGAGCTTACTCTTGAATGAATCTAGTGTTTAATCTATGCTTATGATTTTCTCTAAGTTATATACTTTATGTAATTTTTTAGGACCTTATGAAAATCTGATCACTAAAAGTTTATAGAATTTCAAGCATGTGTATTTGATATAATAAAGTTTTATTTTGCTTAAGGACAAGCAAAAGTTCAAGCTTAGAAGTTTGATAACTCTATAATACAGAGTTATTTAAACTTATTTTTTGTGCTTAAATAAGTGATTTTTGCTTAGTTTTTAGCTAAATAATGATCTTTTTACTTCTAAAGTGCTTAATTTGCTATTTTGTAGGAAATCTTAAAGAAAAAATTAAATCTTGATGAATTCTAGAGAATCTTGAAAGTTTTTAATCAATCTTGAATGATTCTTAATACATTGGAATGAATTTTGGACTATTTTTGATATGTTCTTAATAATTCTTAGAGTTCTTAGAAATCTTAGAATGAAAGTGTGAAAATTGTGCAAGATTTGCTTTGCCAAACCTATGGGAGTTAGAATATTCAATTTTGGTAAGAAATTTAGAAAATTCATGTAAAAATCAAGAAAGGCATGTTCGACTATAATTAAGGTCAAATTTGTAATTTTAAATTAAATGCAAGTTTATGGTGTTTTATGTAGGCGCATATGTATAGAATTACTAATGGATGAGATGGCAACAAATTTTTTCTCATTGGTAAAAAGAGAGGACTTGGAGGCTTATGTGGCATAATGACTTGGCAATTTTGCTTAAATTGAAAAAGTCCAAACAGCTACTTGTTTTCCTACATTGATTTGGAAATCCTATCTTCACTTGGATTGCATTTATCTTTATTTAAAGTAGGATTTTCATGCATACATAAAAACTTCTAAAGAGGGGCATGCATTCACAATATATTTAAATTTAGAATTGATTTTCTTCTTTTCAAGAAAAGTCTTACTTGAAGTCAAACTTCAAGAAGTCTCTAAGAAGAAATAAGATTTATTCCAACTTGAACAACATTTTCCAGAAGACTTTCGATTTTTTATTTTCAAGAAGACTTTTTCATTTAAGTATTCAAACTTGGCTGAACTAGAAAGAGATTTGATAAAAGCCAACCACCACTTCTACTCATTTGTTTAGGGTTTCTTGTATTTTTATTCTCTAAATAACTATCCTTTATTTAAAGAAAAAATTGAAGTAGAGTTCAGGTTAATAGCCTAATTTGTAGTAGTTAGCTCCTTTAAATTTTCTTCCTCTTTACTTTTCATGTTTTAATACTTTCTTTAAATTATTTTAAATTTATACAAAGTTCAATTTTAGTTTTATTTTAAATTTAAGTTTTGTTTTGTTTTCAATTTAATTGAAGTTTTCCTAAATTTTTATCTTTGCTTTCAATTAAATTCAATTTGCATCTTCTCTTTAAGTGTTTTTAATTCACGCAATCCATGTTCTTTAAGTTTTTTTTATTAATTATTTGAGATTTGAAGTTTAATTCATTAAATTTAAGTTTGAAACATTCAATTTAGTTTAATTCAGATTCTATTTAATATAGTTTTTGTATGTTTAAGATTGTTTGGTTTAAGTTTAATAGTTTTTGCATGTTTTAGGATCTTATATGCTTGTTTTGACTCGATTTACATGTTTTTAAGTTTACTACGTAAACTTACATTCTGTTTTATTTAATTTAAGTTGTTAAATTCAAACTTAATTTATCTTGCATGCTTGATCATATTGTGATTTAATTAGTTAATTTAAATAATTATTTAATTATTTGTATTTTAATTTTCAATCTTTAGATATAATTAACGGGTGAATAATTTTAATATTTAATTTTTTTTATATATTTTAATTTTCGTGAAAATGATAGTTTACTCATTCTGAATTACTTATTTTGATTATATGCAATTTCAAATTCTCAATCATAAAAACACAAATTCAAAAGCTTTTATAAATCTTAAAACTTAAAGGTAAAAAGGACGTAAAGAGAAAAAAAAATGCGTTTAAAATGATTTTGAAAAAAAAAGAACGGGAGAGCAATACGGACGAGGACAATTTTATTGCTGACGGTGAAATTTCTTGTCCGAAAAAGCTACTCCCCAGTCTTAAGCAAGAGCAAAATGGGTGTTGTATTTCGGGTGAGACTCTGTAAATCGAGAGTGACTATCCAACAAAAAGTCCCAAAGTCCAAACACCGAGGAAAATCAAAACGTCCTCCCTCTGTCTCTCGCATCTCAAATCTGAATTGCAAACTTTCGCAGACAAAAGAAAAGAAAGTCTTCGATTATGGCTTTTCAAGGGAAGAAACTCATCAACAACCCCAACGGTTCGCTTACTCCGTCTATTTATTTCTCACTATTTCTTCGTTCTATTACTTAAAAATCGCCTCAGATTTTCTGAATTTTGTTTTCTGAGGAAAAAAACTAGGAAAAATAATAGAGTTTTCTTTTCTTTGTCTCTATCTCTTTATTTATTTTAACTGTGGGAAAAACGAATTGCCTAGTTTTAGTTTTCTGTTTCATGGAAAACCATTTTGAAGCTCTTTTGTTATGGTGTCGTTAGATGTGGTGACTGAATTTATTGAGGGTCTTGTGGAAACATATCCTGGACTCCAGTACTTAGATGGTTTTCCGGAGGTGATTTGGTTTTCCTCTTTGCTTATGTTCAGTTATTGCAATTAGGCTTTATATGCACAAAATGGTAACTTGTTCGTTTGCAGGTGAAGGTTGTAATTCGTGCTGATGTTTCAGGTGCAACATATGACAAGGTTGCTGTCATATCAGGTTTAGACCCTGCAAAGCTGCTAACACTTCATATCTGTTTTCTTGTACTCGAAAATGAAGTTTAATTTCTATAATTTGTTACTTTTGGTATCTTCTTAAGCTATGATGATTTCAAGACAATTTTGCGGGTCAAAATTGTTGTTTCCTTTGAAATATATGCTCAAAAAGTTTCCCTAGATCTTAACAAAATATATTGGTAACTATTCTTAACGTCCAGGATCCATATGTATTAGCTGGTTTTCATCATTGGGCAAAAACTTTTGAGCTTGCATGATTCTGTCCTTATTGTTCTCTAGTTATTTCCATTGAAATTTTATTTTCTTCCATGTAGCCAGTTATGTTTTAACTGTATGGGTTTTATTTATGTCCATTAATATTCCTGTCTGAACACGTTACATCTTGTTTACTTTTCTTACAGTTTGTATTTAAAAAGAAAATATGTAAAAGAAATGGAAAAAAAATCTCTTGAATTTTCTGGCCTCAGGAAATAATGGTTATGCCATGCGATATTGGCTTTCTTAGGAACCCTTTTTTGACAAAAATAAATTGTGAAAGCATTATTGAGATATTTTTCTATTTGATATAATTTGTGATGCAGGAGGTGGAAGTGGGCATGAACCTGCACATGCTGGATTTGTGGGAGAAGGGATGCTGACAGCTTCCATTTGTGGAGATGTTTTCGCTTCTCCTCCAGTTGATTCAATTTTAGCTGTATGCTTTCTATTTCCTTTTTTTTTTTTTTGTGGTTTAAAAGGAGATGTATCTTCCTTCTAATTATCTTAAATGTCTTTGCATTTGTGACTGAAATTATTTCATCAGGGCATTCGAGCTGTGACTGGTCCTATGGGATGTCTTCTGATAGTTACGGTATTTTTCTTTCCTAATAAATCAGGTTATAGGTTTATATGATATCTATTGCTGTATATGGGTATTTAGTGCTATCATGATATGTGCTCTAATTTTTGTTTTCACTTTAGAAGATGTCTCTTTTTAATTATCCTCAACCCCACCAACCCACCCTCAATAAGAAAAAAAGGTGCAGGGGTGTCGGGGGTGGTGGTGGTGGTGGTTGAAAGAGGTAAGTCAAATGAAAAACCATTGTTAGACCCTTTAATGTAAAGGTTAGAAGCATGTTTAGGTTTGAAGCCGGGAGCATATTACAACTAATATTTTCTTTGTTCCTAATTCATAGTATAATCTGGATGTGGACAGAACTATACCGGTGATCGTTTGAATTTTGGTTTGGCTGCTGAGCAAGCAAGATCTGAAGGTTATAAAATAGAAGTATGTTTTCATGCTAGATGTCATCTTTTAAAGGAATATATATATATTTTTTTAATGTCCAAAGCATTGTCAGGAGAATAAAATCAAAATATGGATACAATTCCTTCCCTTTGCAGACTGTAATTGTCGGAGATGATTGTGCATTACCTCCACCTCGAGGCATTGCTGGACGAAGAGGTTTGGCAGGAACTATTCTTGTTAATAAGGTTCTCTCTCTCTGTCTCTCTCTCTCTCTCTTGGCTGTTTGACAGAAGCTAAACTTTATACTTACAAATTGTTAAAGATATTTTCCATTGACTGTGTTCACTTTCTTTTGTTTTTGTAAAGTTGTTCTCTTTGAAAATCTAATTTTAGCAAAGTGGCTTTTTCTTAAAACAAATTATTTGCATTGAAATTTTGCATTGTTCCTCTTCCTCTTTGTGGAATGCAGGTTGCTGGAGCTGCAGCTGCAGCTGGCCTTTCTCTTGCTGATGTTACTTCAGAGGCAAAACGTGCATCTGAGATGGTTGGAACTATGGGTGTTGCATTATCTGTTTGCACATTGCCTGGTCAGGTTACTTCTGATCGCTTAGGCCCAGGAAAGATGGAACTTGGTCTGGGAATTGTGAGTTACTTTATACTTGTATTTCTGCAGAACCAAGGGATTTTTATTTTTATTGTTTTGAGTTGATCACTTTTAGACTTTAGCTCTATATGCTTAGCCCTTAACTGTTGTCTGTGCTATGCTTCTCTTTGTTTTCTGATTTGATTTCTTCTTCTATACTAATCATGTTGAGCTAACAAGTGTTGTTCGTCCAGCATGGGGAACCTGGTGCTGCTGTGGCAGACCTCCAGCCTGTGGATGTGGTGGTTTCCCATGTTCTCAAGCAAATATTATCACCGGTATGTTCCAATAGTGGAGCACCAGCTTAACTTTTTGAAACCCCTGCCCTCTTTCATTATCTCTAAGGAAAACATAATTTGTGCTACAATAATCTCATACCACTAATGGTTATGGTATGATAATGTCTAACTTTTGTGAAGAAAATAGCCTTGAATTTTTTCTCAAAGTAGTTTACTGTTGTACTTTTATATCTCGTTTGGTTGTCTATGTTTTGTTATTTTTGCTTCTGCTTTGGAGTTACAGACATAATGCACTTAATTTTGCTAGAAGCTATTTAAGTTTCACTTTGGATTGAATTGATACATATATATATTTTACTTTTATTTGGACAAATTGAGCCTTTCCTCTTCCAATTTGGTTCAATTAAATCCAATTATTAGTGGTGCTGAAGGCTTGCTGTTCAATCATGCTGATGTGGTAAGATAAATGTGGCTTAGATCACCATAAAAGACTATTAAAGAACCATTCAAGACAACTTATTCCAAATTGAATGAAATAAGTTGCTATGTATCTCCTGATGTAAACCAAAAATTAAAACCTTATTAGAAATTAAAAAGAAAGATAAATTCAGATTTCTCTCTCTAGCCTATTTCTTTGATTCTGTTCACTATAGCAGTGATGGCATTTTTAACTGATGATATTAGACTTCAAAAACTATTCTATTTTGGGATTACGTTAGGTTCAAATGTTGAAATCATGTCATGTACTGGCTTATGTCGGGCCACTGGGCTGTATTTCATTTATTTCCAAAAACACCATATGTGTCTTCTCAAGATTCAAAGCTGTTACTATTATTACTTATTCAAGGTTGGTTTCAGCAACACATCATCTCTTTGCCTTTTCTATTGTGGTTGGCCCAGAAATTGCCTCCTAGACATTGATAAAAAAGCATAGCAGATCAGATCAAGATATTGCCATTAAATATTTGATCCCATTAACACAATTACCTGCCAAGGGTCACTCCTCTATTTTTTGCACTTTGTATCAATCCCACCACTGCTACCTCTTTTTCCTTCTTCTGGAGTGTATTATTTCATCTTGCAACTTAATTATTTAGACACATTATTTTTTAATTATGTAATCTTTTCAGGAAACTAACTATGTTCCAATTACACGAGGCAATAGAGTGGTGCTCATGATTAATGGGTATGTATATATATTAATTTTCTTTTACGCTGTTGAATTTTTCTCTACTTTCCTTTTGAGGGCCAGAGAGTGTCTTCTGATCAGTGTGGTTTTGTGGCTTGAATTTGAATTCAGGGCTAGGAAATAAATTAGCATTGCATAGGAACTAACTATATTGTTAGACAAGATGAGGTGAGAAAAGATGAGGAATGAGGAGTATGGCCTTAAGCTAGAAATAATAATAAATTATCAACCACGATGCGTTCAGAATATATGTTGTAGGTTTGGGCTTTTGCTTGGTATGTTGCTTGGGCTTTAAAAATTTCTGATCTTATATTATTGTTTAAGCATCCTAAAATGGATATCAGGTAAAATGAATTCATATAACTGAATATATGAACTGTCAGCTAGATACACACTAGAAATGGGCATGGCATGATACAGACAACAATAAATACTATTTTTTTCCTACATATTTCATATCATGAATGCAAATATTGATATGGTTATTTGATTTTGGAAACAGGCTTTATTATTTGGTTAAATTGTAGTTAATTTTGGCTCTAATGGCCTAAAACCAATGTATTGTAGCTTGATTTTAAATTTTCAGTGGTGGGCTGCTATCAGAGGTTGCAGGTCAAAATAAATCTGTCCTTGAACCAAATTTTACCTCATAATAACCATATCTATCAGGCCTATAAAGGCATATAGAGCCCAAATATAAATACCTTCAAAAAGACAATCTCTTCATCATTTTGTCTTCCGCTCTTTGTTGCTTCAGTTCCTGCCAGTAGCTCTTTTTTTTTTTTTTTTTCACTTTCTCTCACTCAATTTTTGTTCTTCATGTTCCCAATTTCCCTAGATATCCTTAGAGATTCATCAATTTCCTTTGGTCACCAAAGTTGCAGATTGTATTAGCTGATAATGGTGTGTGATCAATGTTGTGTGGATTGGGAGTTACATTTGTAATCCTTAGGGATTGTTTGATGCTATGTCCTCATGTATTGCCCATATTCTTACCATGTCTGGAGTCCAAATATATTTTATTTTCTCTGTTGTGTTTCATCATGTTTAACATGTGTGTTTGTGTTCGACATGGACAAGGAGGGTGGGGGGCTTGTTGTGTCTTGTTTTATAGGTTGGGAGATGAAGAAATCTCTAGAATAAAACTATTTTATTCTTCTATATTTTTCTTATTATAATGCTAGAATTGGGTGAAAATATATAGTCTAAAGACTTAAATATTCTTAGCCTTAAAACTCAAGATTTTCATGCATTAAAAATAGCTAATCGAAGGAGTAATTTACTCTTTACACACAATGGGAAAATATCTAATGGATTTGGTTTAATCACCCCAATCGCTCCTTATTTTAAAAATAAGAGACTTAACTAAAATAGACAAAGTCAATTAATCAAGTAATAATGAATATTAGATTTTCACACTCCCCCTCAAGCTAGGTGATAGATGTCAATCATGCCTAACTTAGACTTCAGATTCTCGAAGTTGTTCCAAGAGAGAGCTTTAGTGAGTATGTTTGTAGTTTGGAAGCATGTGGGGGTATAAACTAATCTAAGAATTCCTTTTTTCATCTTTTCTTTGATGAAGCAATGATTAATCTTCACATGTTTAGTCCTATCGTGATGAACATGATTCTTTGCTCTACATTTATGGCAGCTTTGTTGTCGCAGAATATCTTCATGGATTCTTTTGTAGAGACCTTTAACTCCTCTAGCAATCTTTTCAGCCAAATTCCCTCACATATGCCATTAGACATAGCTTTAAACTTAGCTTCCGCGCTACTTCTAGCCACCATAGATTGCTTCTTGATTCGCCAAGTAACCAAATTTCCCCACAATAGGTACAATAACCAATAGTTGATCTTTGGTTAGTAACAGATCTAGTCCAATTAGCATTAGTGTAAAGTTCAACATTTCGGCGTGATATCTTCTTAAAAAATAACTCTTTGTTAGGACTTTTCTTTAGGTATTGTAAGATTCGATACATAGCCCTCAAGTGTTCCTTGGTTGGGTTGTTCATGAATCTGCTTATTATGCTAACCCAAATGAATCTGCTTATTATGCTAACCCAAAAACTGATATCTGGTCTTGTATGAGAGAGGTAGATGAGTTTCCCTACAAGTCTTTGATGTCTACCCTTATGTTGGTGGACTTCTTTCTTCCATTCCTACGTTATTCATTGTCTCTATAAGGGTGTTAGCAAGTTTGCATTCAAGCATTTGAGTTTTTTTTATTAAGTCTAGGACATGCTTATGCTGTGAAACAGAGTTGCCATTCCTTAAGCGAGCTACCTCCATGCCAAGAAAATATTTGAGGTGTCCCAAATCTTTGATTTCAAATTCTTTGGCTAGGAGGTTCTTTGAGTTGCTAATTTCTTCTACATAGTCTCCAGTAAGAATAATGTCATCCACATATTCAATAAGAATGGCTATTTTTCCTTTAGTTGAATGTTTGACAAACATGGTGTGATCACTTTGGCATTGTGGCAAACCATGCTTCTTTACCACTTTTGTTAGTCTATCAAACCATGCACGTGAGGATTGTTTGAGAACATATAAAGACTTTTGAAGTTTACATACCTTGCCAGAATTGTCTTGGTTTTTGAGTCATGGAGGGATTTCCATGTAAACTTTTTCTAAGTCACCATTAAGAAATACATTTTTGACATCTAGTTGGAGGATTTGCCAATCTAGATTTGCTGCCAATGATAATAACACTCAGATTGAATTAAGCTTAGCAACCAGAGCAAATGCCTCCTTATAGTCAACAGCATAAGATTCAGCAAATCCTTTTGCACCAAGGCGAGTGTTGAATTTGTTAATACTTCCATCTGCATTGTGTTTGACAGTAAAAATCCATTTACACCAAATTGGATTTTTCCCTTTAGGTAGTTCTAAAATCTCCCATGTTTTGTTCTTTACTAGGCCCTGATTTCTTCTAAAACAACCATTTTCCATTTTGGTTGCACGAGTGCTTCATGAATATTATTAGGAATCTGCATATTGTTTAGTGTGGTAACAAAAGCCTGATAATTGGGTGATGAACCTTTATAAGAAACCACATTATAGATTGGTGTTGAGTATATGATTTCACACCTTTCCTTAGAGCAATCGATTGATCAAGATTATCAAAAGATTCAATTGAATCAGACTCAGTAAGAGTGTTACCTATGTTGGTTTCAAGCATCTTTGGAATCGGTTTAGATTCTTGGTTTTGCTTTAAAGGTGTACATTCTCCTATCCTTTTGAGTTTTATGTCTTTTTGAATAGATAATCAATTCTTTGTTTGATTTACCTTGTGTGGACTTTGGGCTTGGAGGATTTGGTTGGATGTTTTGGACTTGAAAGGGAGTTGGAGGATCTGGTTGGATGTTTTGGACTTGAAAGGGAGTTTGAGAAGTGTTTGGTGGTTCGGTAATAGGATTTTCCTAAAGCTAATATTCCCGTGTGATTGGATTCTTCCCCTGTATGGTAGTTTTGGGAAAGTAAGGTTGATTTTCAAAAAAGGTAACATTCATTGAATGGTAGAATTTCTTTGTTATTGGTGAGTAACACTTGTATCCTTTTTTATTCGAAGAGTATCCGAGAAATATGCATTTGATGGATTTGGGATCTAATTTGCTTTGGTTTTGTTGGTTGGTAAGAACAAATGCAGTGCATCCAAACACTTTAATGGGAATAGACAAGATGATTTGAAGGTGAGGATAAGAACTGAGATGGGATTGGCAAGGATATACAAGAATAAGGAGTGGTAATGTTTTGCAGTGATTGGGAAACGTTAGCTTCGGGGTTAGAGGTAACCTCTGACGTTAGGCTTTCCCTTTTGCTAGCCATGTTGGACTCCGAGTGAAAATTTATAAAGGTTCAGATCGTATTCTAATACCATGAAAAAATCTCTAGAATAAAACTATTTTATTCTTTTATATTTTTCTTATTACAATGCTAGAATTGCATGAAAATATATGGGCTAAAGACTAAATATTCTCGGCCTTAAAACTCAATATTTTCATGCATTAAAAACAGCTTCTTATTCTAAAAATAAGAGACTTAACTAAAATAGACAAAGTCAATTAATCAAGTAATAATGAAGATTAGATTTCCACAGCAAATATTGTTGGATTAAGCCATTCTTGATTAACAAATATAAAATGCAACAGAAGCTAAACAGAGAGAATTGAACCCTCCAATCTGAAAATGATATAAGAACACACAAAGGAATCGAATTGTATACCTCTTGCAATGGATTGTGGAAAATCCCAAAGCACTAAATTCCTCTGCTTTGTTCTTGTACACTAGGTTTAGTTGTTGCAAACCAAAGCCTATCGGCCTTTAACGGGGATCCACGTAACTAGCGATGGAGACATTCACCAAGGTTGTGATTATATTTAGGTTGAAGATTGTGCTAGTAGTCTAGGTTTTCACTAAAACCTCACCCTCCTTATTTTTTCCTTTTAGGCCAAAAACCTCCTAGCAAGAAAATTGATTTTTCTTCTCTAGGGGTGGCTAAGTGCAAGGAAGAAGAAGACTAGGGCTATGTTACATGAGTGGTGGCTGAATATTAACTTTTATACCTAGTTAAGCTTTATACAACTTTTGCATTATTTGCACTTTTGACCTATCACTTGATTAAACTCTTTAATGAAGCTATTGGAAATTCATAATTTCCTCAATTAAGTCAAATAATTCTCAATCCTATTTCGATTCCATAATGTCATCTGTGTATGTGTCATTATGATCTAAATACGTTGACAATGAATATAAATTAATCTTACTAAGAATTCATTTATATTCATCGACCATGAACCACACTTGGCAATGCATTATGGCCACCCAATGTTAAGAAAGTCAACATGGTTTAAGTAACCTTTTAGTGTACAGTATTTTAGTATAATTCGATCCCTTCATCATATATTTTAAAAAGAGAGAGCATGATGCAATGTCTACTCTCAATTCCTTTCTATATTTATTTTACAGATTCTATATTAAATCCTTAAAATCGCCTTG